ATTGGTATTAGTGACACCAATGATGGGGCACTATTCCTCCCACTGACACCAATGATACTTACCTTGCTGACTCCTGCTCCAGCCTGGACTCGCTCCCTCCCTCTCCCATCTACAGCCAGCATACCTGGCTGCAGCAGCACCATCTGCACGCTACAGACACTTACCTGTCAGCTGTCTTCCTTCTCCGGCCGCTCCCTCGCTCGATCTTCTTTGATCTTTGCGCTGCTGCTCGGCTCCTCCTCCTTGCTGGTGACTGGCGAGGAGGCGGAGCTGTTGAGTGATCCCGGGGATGTGGCCAGATGACAGGGGCGGCATGTCATCCGGCGCACACATCGCGGTCCAGGGAAATGTGGACGTATCTGCATGTGGGCGGGCCCGCCTGGAGACTGATAGAGGAGCCGTGTCTCGGTTCCTAAGACCATCGGAAATATGTGTTTTCTGATGGACTTAGGAGACCCCTGTGAATGGGTTGTTCGACCCCCAGGTTGAGAACCGCTGCTGTAGGGCATAGCAGTCAGAGGATGGAGCCATGGCTTGCAGCGGTCGGGAGGATGGAGCCATGGCTTGCAGCGGTCGGGAGGATGGAGCCATGGCTTGCAGCGGTCGGGAGGATGGAGCCATGGCTTGCAGCGGTCGGGAGGATGGAGCCATGGCTTTCGGGAGGATGGAGCCATGGCTTGCAGCGGTCGGGAGGATGGAGCCAGGGATGGACCATGGCTTTCAGCAGGGGTGACAGGGATCCACCAGTTGAATGCCAAGGAGTCTTGTGAAGGTTGCAGCCCAATAGAGAAGGGAGGCAGGATACACGGGCTACCGGAGAGATGAGTTTATTCACTTCTCATTTGCGCATGACAGGGTCACTTTAATCTGCGCACAAATCGCTCCGTTTTATATCCTGCTTCATCCCTTTTACTGCTACAGACATAAGGCATACGTCAGTGGCAGCACCGGCTTTTACATGCACTCCTGGCTTCTACAGACTCCGGGAGTGGTGTGTACTTGTCAAGTCGATTGTTGGCATTCTAATGGAAGTTGTTCACTTCCACAGTCACCGGAACATAGTGCCCCTCCTTCATGCATCTTGGGCTCCTCTTTCCCATCTGCTGGGTGGAATGGAGGAGCTCATTGAACATCCATTTACTGATCCTCCCTTTTGGTGATTGAACCCAGAGGCTTTCAGAACTGTTGTTCCCCAGCAGCACCAGATGGGGAGGAAGCTGATTAAACGCGATCCGTGCTTGAGCAGCATCAATGGGGTGGATAGGTGATGTTAGGAGCCTAACAGCCCCCTGATCTCTGCTGAAAGCGAGGCTCCACCCAAAAGGGGAAGTTCCACTTTAAAGGATAACTTCACCTTTTGATAACAAAAAAATACATTCACATTTTTTTGCAGGTAAAAAAATGTGCATTTATTATTTTTGCTCCAGGAGCCTGTAAAGCATCTGCTGATCACTGGTGCCATGCATGTCTCCTGCAGCTCTGTCAGTATATCTGTTTGCTGGTACAGGATGTACAGGCAAGCAGATGTACTGACCGGAACATTCAATGAACTACCACAGTGCTTCACAGTTCCACGCTCCCACTTCTGCTCTGACTGCCTAGGCCAGGGGTAGGCAACCTGTGGCTCTCCAGCTGTTGTGGAACTTCATTTCCCACGAGGCATTGCAACATTACAAAACTGACAGCTATGACTTGCAGAGGCATGATGGAACTTGTAGTCCTGCAACAGCTGGAGAGCCGTAGGTTGCCTAGCCTAGGCGATCAGAAGCAGAAGTTCTCCTCCCCCTTCCTTCTCCGCAGCCTCTTGGGACACGTGACGGGTCCCAGAAGGCTGCAAGACAATTTACAGTGTGCTGCGGGCACCCGGCTATGAAGCTGCAAGCGGTCACAGCCGGTGTCCACAGTTGAGGTGCCGGCACCGAGGACAAGACCAAAGGAACGGCTCAGGTGAACACATTGTTGGATCCTGGGACAGGTGAGTGTCTGTTTATTAAAAGTCAGCAGCTACAGTGTTTGCAGCTACTGACGTCTAATAAACACAAAAATGACAGAAGCTCCTCTTTAAAGGATAAGTTCACCTTTTTGGACAAAAATAATAAATGCCCTTTTTTTTTTTTTTTTTTTTTTTTTTTTTTTTTTTTTGCGTGGTTGGGCTCCCTTGGTCAGCACCTGGAGCTCCAGAGGGGTTTTCATACAGGCCTGGAGCGGTGACCTCTCTTTACATGTCTGTAGACGTGATATGTGTTCTGTAGCTCACAGAATAGAGAACACAAAGTTATCAGGCTTTCTGGCAGGATCAACACGTGTGGGTTTTTTTTTTTTAACAGATATATAAGAAAACCCTTTCAATGTTCTATATTTAATGCAGTATTAAACCCAAAAGCAAACATTTTATTCTGTTGCAGCTTACCAATTCTTAGATGTGACGGCTGCATTAGATGTCTTCTTTAGGCTTTTTTTCCTTCTGTTTTCACTGGGTGATTCAGCCAGTAAGTCTGTTGTTTTTCAAAAGAACAAGCTCTCTTCCAGATGTATCGGTTAGAGCAGGGGTGTCAAACTGGCGGCCCTCCAGCTGTTGCGAAACTACAAGTCCCATCATGCCTCTGCCTTTGGGAGTCACGCTTGTAACTGTCAATCTTTCACTGTCTTATGGGACTTGCAGTTTGGCAACAGCTGGAGGGCTGCCAGTTTGACACCCGTGGGTTAGCGGGATGAGACAAACCAATTACCACTGGCAGGGGTGCTTACGATGATTAGCTTTTATTTATATAAAATCTTGATCCCAAAAGGAAAATCAAACCGCTGTAACTGATCGTAAATAGTTTGGCTTCAAGTTGTTAGTGTATTTAACCACCTCCCGTCCAGCCGTTGTATAGTGTGAAAGAGCCCCAACAGGCAGATGGACGTCCAGGAAGGACACTTGCCAGAAACTGATGATCTCTGTGTGCAGTTATAAGAATGGGACAATGGATCTCTGACACCCATGGGTCTGACCTTCACGGTCTGATCTCTCCCAGCCCAAAAGTTATTGAATCAGGTCAGTCCCTTCAGTATTTGTGAATGTCTTTAACCATTTCCCGTCCGGCCGGATGGTGGCAGTGCAGGGGCGGGTGGCCGTTTAGAAACTGCCTTCCTGCCCCCCCGCTTGTGCGCGTTCCCTGGGAGCGCGCAGCACCGCAATCCGGTGCCCGCTGTGTCCTCAGGACACAGTGGAACAGCGATCGTAGTACGGGACCTCTGTGCGAGGTCCCGATCATGTGATCACTGATTTGCCAATCAGTGATCACATGCAGAGTAGTAAGCAAGAGGTCACTTCTGACATCATTGCTTACTATGTGTGAAATCTGTGAATGATCACAGAGATCACATGGTACAGGGCTATTCACAAGAGCCTAGTACCATGTGACAAGCTGTGACCAATCGCAGATCTCACAGTATTTCTCAATGGCTGCAAGAATGCAGCCAGAGAGAAGGAGAAATGATTGCTTTCATGGGTGTAAAAGCAATCCCTGTAATAATAAAAAAAAAAATCACCTCCACAAGTAGTACAGTGTCATCATGGTGACCGTATGTAAAAAAAAATTAAAATTAAAAAAACAAATTTTTGGTTATAAACTAATTTGGGGTATTTTTTGTTTTTTTTTTTTTACTAAAATAACAAATTTTGGCCAAGATTTATAATGAAATATTATTTATTTGCAAAATTTTATAAGAAACACTTTTTTTTAAAAAAAATTTGGACTTTTTCATTTATGTAGCAAAAAAAAATAAAAATCCCAGCGGTGAATAAATGCACCAAAATAAAATTTTATCTGTCTCAAAAAATGCTAAAAAATTCATATGGGTACAGTGTTTCATGACCGCGCAATTGTCATTCAAAGTGTGATAGCGCTGAAAGCTGAAAATTGGCCTGGGCAGGAAGGGGGTGAAAGTGTCGGGACTGGAAGGGGGTGAAAGGGGGGGAAAGTGAAAGTCCGGACTGGAAGTGGGGGGGGAGGGTGAAGGTGTCGGGACTGGAAGGAGGGTGAAGTGTCCGGGACTGGAAGGGGGGGGACTGGAAGTGTCGGGACTGGAAGGAGGGTGAAGGTGTCGGGACTGGGGAGGGTGAAGTGTCCGGACTGGAAGGGGGGGGAAAGTGTCCGGGACTGGAAGGGGGGAAAGTGTCGGGACTGGAAGGAGGGTGAAGGTGTCGGGACTGGAAGGGGTGAAGGTGTCGGGGGAAGGAGGGTGAAGGTGTCGGGACTGGAAGGACTGGAAGGTGTCGGGACTGGAAGGAGGGTGAAGGTGTCGGGACTGGAAGGAGGGGGGGGGTGAAAGGCGTGAAGGTGTCGGGACTGGAAGGAGGGGGGGGGACTGGAAGGAGGGTGAAAGCGTCCGGACTGGAAAGGTGTCGGGGGGGGGGTGAAAGCGTGTCGGACTGGAAGGGTGGGTGTCGGGGGTGAGGGTGAAGCGTCGGGACTGGAAGGAGGGTGGGGGGGGGACTGAAAGCGTCGGGACTGGAAGGGGGGGAAGGTGGGGGGGGGGGTGAAAGCGTCGGGACTGGAAGGGGGGGTGAAAGAGTCCGGACTGGAAGTGGTTTAAATTTTCTAGTAAATCTAACACTCCTCCCATCTCCAGACTGACAATGCTGCCAAAGGTGCCCCCTGTGTTTTTTCATCCAGATTGGTGCCGCTCTAATACAGGAGGTGTTACTGGCCAGATCACCAGTGGAAACAGACAAAAAAAAACCTAAAAGGAAACTAATGCAGCCACCACATCTAATGATTGGTAAGCTGCAATATATTAGCGGTTTGGTTTTGGGTTTATTACCACTTAGGGCGAGTAATAGAAGTTCAATATTTGGTTCTGCATACACTTTCAGGTACCGCCAGTATTGGGCCCCATGGATCGGGGACCGTCTGTTTCCATCAGGGCCTAGTTATGTGTTTTGCCTTTTTGATGCTCTATGCTTGTTCTGTTTTCTGAATGATTTACTCTTGCTTTGCCTCTTTTCTATCCAGCAGTCTGCCCTCTCAGGCTCCGCAGTCTTCTAGCTGGGTTCAGTTTTAACTGCTGCTGCTGCTGCTGGGACTCTTCCTCTCCCTTTCCCGGAGTTCAGACAGTCCTCCACACCGCCAGAGACTGCGGCCGCTCTGTAAAACGTATCATTGTGACGTTGTTGCATTATCGGGCTGTTTGGGAATCCGAGGGGACCGTGTGTTGTGCATCTCATTCCCACTTCTGCCCTTGCAATGTTCATGCCAAGCCCCCCCTGACCCCCTTTTTTCTCCACCCCCCCCTTGCCTGCACCGTCTGTGTCACTGTCATCGTGTTCCTGTCTGTCTCTCCCTCGTGGCTACATTTCGCACTCACTGTTTATCATTCCAGGCACCCTGAGGCCACCCGCATGCAGGGGATTGTGTACAGATTATGTCATGGTAGCTGTGGTGCCCACATTGTGCTTCTAGTGGAAAGGATAGCCCGGCGGTACGACCTCGACTACGTTAGGGGTTGTTGGGCAAGATGCAGTCAGAAAAGAAAATTTGACCCAGCAAGTGGTGGAGGTCTGCAGTTCTCATTGATTTGTATATAGAAGCAGCACCCCACACCAGTGTATGACTGGCAAGGCACAAACACTTGCTGATGACGAGAGAATTTTGGTAGCTGCCATTTTTAGTGGTTCCAGACAACTGCAAACTGCCTAGCAATCATCCAAGTAGTTTGGTTCCACACCGTGGGTCATTATAGGAAACCTGTACTAAAGGAAATATGAGGCTACCTTTCCAACTACTTCTGGAAGTGCTATGCCAACTACTATCAGTGCTAGTTATCTGCCTTCAGTGCTTTAAAAGCATTTTTAATTTTTTTCAAATGTCCCCCCAGATGCCATTAAAAAAAAAAAAAAAAAAAAAAACCTTGAGCCATCTCCAGCAGTACCTCTTCTTGGCCACAGGATGTCCTCAGCTATTCAGTCCAGTAGACAGGGGACTCTACTGTGAGTGGTGCTGGTGGAATCCCCTTAGCCTTGCTGTTTGTGTTAATAAGGATCACCCAGCCTGGAGGAGAAGAGGAAAGGTCCTCTGCAGTGACATGTGACCGACCCAAAGACATCTGGAAAATGTAAATATTAAATCCTCTGTTCTGTTCGTGGGGGGTGTTTCTTCTGGTTTCCATAGCACTGCCTCTGTGATGCCTATCTATTGGCTAAAGAAAATTGACAGAGCAGGGGAACCAGTAGATTTGAGGCATTGGATTAGTGGTCCCTTGCCACTGGAAACAGCAATGGAGGCCAGTGTCCTGGGCAGGGGACTTAGGTTGGTTGGGGTGGGGGGGGATGGGGACTTTTACTGGTTTCCATGCCACTGTCTCCATGAGTGAACATTTCCTATTGGCTAAAGGGGATTGCTGTCAGTTCAGGTGACCAGCGTCAGATTAGTTGTCCCTTGCAACCAGAAACCGTGACTACGAGGGACCTGGACAGGGAACTTAGGTGGGTTGGGAGGGGTGGGGAAAAGGGAGGTTTACAGTCTGTTAAAATTTAACCTGGAGTGGGGCTTTAAAGTAGAATTTCAGGCTAAACCCAACTAAACATATGTTCCCTCACACCTCTAAACCCCTTTAACTGGCTAAACTGTGTCAGGAAAATATATAATCTTAATTAGAAAGTGTATATTTGCCTATTTTAGGCCCACACCAGTCCAGTGACGTGATCCAGCTCCCCTGTGTCAGCCAGAAGCAGCTGCAGGGGAGAGGAGAGAGCGCTTTTAATGTTTTCATGTGTTCTGATTCTACAACCTCAGAATATGTACCCATATCAGGAATTTTGATTTAACCCTGCCTTCACTTGCTTCTTGCTGACTTCTTTCTTTCAAGTTAGTCAGAAAGAAGTGATCTGTGTACTTAACTATTTTTTCAGCCCGCTCTAATCTGGTCACATGATCCCCTGTGGCGGCCAGCAGTACCTGCAGGGGGGAGAGTGTTTGACAATAGCTGGTAAAGCCTGGGAGCAGTGGCATCACCCATAGGCTCCTATGAGTTATCCATTGTCGCCGCACCCGCCTCTCCTCTGCAGCCGCTACTGGCTGACACGAGAGGTTGATCACGTGACCAAACTGGAATGCCAGCCAGCAATGACTGTAGGAGAGAGGCGGTAGCACAGACAACCATAGTAAGGCTAAGAGTGATGTCACCGCTTCCAGGCATTGACAGCCATTGTCGAGCGCTCTCTCCTCTCCCCTGCAGCCGCCACTGGCTGACACAGGGGATCACGTGACCGGAGCAGGCTTAAAATGGGTAAGTATATACATGTTTCTAACATAGTTTAGTCAGAAGAAAAATCAAGTCCATATTCCTGATCTGGGACGGCGATGTTCTGAGGTTGGTAAGTCAGAACAAAAGCATTGGGACATGTGGCAGCCAGGCAGCTGGCATTTTCAGTTGAAAAGTTCAGCAATGGCATCCTGTATATTCTCCCTAGGACAGGTTTCCTTCAACGCTTGGACATGGCATCCATTTCTATTCTATAACTTTTGTTTGGACATTCATACGCACATTTCCCATCGTTCTCCAATCATCTATGGAACATGTCCAGTCAAGGAGCAGTTTTTACTTTCATATCTGTTGAGCGATTGGACTCATTGACAAGACGCAGCACTAAAGTGAGGTCAATATTCTACGCTGCCAATCAGCTTCGATCTCTCAGATGAAGTGAAGGGAGGTTTATAAGGAGTAACTGGGCCACTGGGCTTACAATCTGATTGTACAATCTACTAAATTTACAGTGAACGGTTTTAGACAATCTGAGCTCACATCAGATCGGAGTCATAAACTCTGGATGGGGTGAATGGATAGGCTGCTTTGTTTTCATTAGATCATGTTGTACCTGTTGCGTGACTGCAACTTAATGCACATTTTTCCTGTGGCAGCCAATGAAATTGTTCTACTAGAATTTGTGTGTTTGTGTAATACTTTTACATTGTTTTTGTTTTTTCCTTAAAGAGATGCTGTCCCTTTTTTGCCCATACAGGGCAAATGATAGCCCCCCACACACCCAGCAACATATACTCGCCTATCCATGCTCCCTTGCCTCCTTCCTGCAGCAGAAGTCCCCCCCAGGGCAAATTCCAGCATCTGAGCTTACCTTGGTGGAGGTCATCACTGCCCACCAAGTTTACTTTTTGGCCCTGGGGATTGAGAAGGTCACAAGTTCCCCCATACCTGGAGGCCCAGCCGTATTGTCTATCAGTACTCCCCATCTCTTAGTTGCAGCAGGAACCCACCGTTGGTAAACCCTGATGTCTGAGCTTACCTGGGTGGGGGACATTACTGCCTCCCAAGTTGACTGTTTCAGCTCTGGGGATTGAGGTCTCATTTTCTGTCCTCCCGTCACACCCCACCCCCATACCTGGAGGCCCAGCCCTATTGTCTATCTGTACTCCCTCATCTCTTAGTTGCAGCAGGAACCCACCGTTGGTAAACTCTGATGTCTGAGCTTACCTGGGTGGAGGACATTACTGCCTCCCAAGTTGACTGTTTCGGCTCTGGGGATTGAGGAGGTCTCATGTTCCCCTTTGGTAAACTCCAGTGTCTACACTTACATGGGTGGAGGGCATCCCTGCCCCATAGGTGATAGTTTTTGGGCCTGGAGATTGAGGAGGTCACGTTTCCCCCATACCTGAAGGCTCAACCCTCTTTCCTATCTGCACTCCCCCATCTCCTTCCCACAACTGCAGGGTACACTCCACCTGGGTGGAGGGCATCCCTGCCCTCTAAGGGACAGTTTTGTGCTCTGAGGAAGTTGCATGTTCCCCTATCCATGGAAACCCAGCTCTGATAGCGCAGGAAGAGGCAAAGGAGAGGGGTTTAATGAGTACAACTTTCTTAGGGGTGGGCTAAATAGGACCCCTACCCAGAAAAGTATACTCACCTATTGGAGCTCCACCACCTCCTACCTACAACAGGTGCCCTCCCTAGGTAAATGCCAGTGTCTGAGCTTACCTATGTATGTAGATGATCTACCCTCCATATGACCGTTCTGGACTTAGGGATTGGAGGAGGTCACATGTTCCCCCATACCTGGAGGTCCGAACCTATTGCCTATCTGCACTCCCTTATCTCCTACCTGCAGCAGGAACCCACCATCTGTAAATTCTGGGTCTGCGCTTACCTGGGTGGAGGGCATCCCTGCCCACAGGTGACAGTTTTGGGCTTAGAGATTGAGGAAGTCACATGTTCCCCCCCATACCTGGAAACCCAGCTCCGACAGCGCAGGGAAAGGCAAAGGAGAGGGGTTGAATGAGTATAACTTACTCGGGTGAGCTAAATGGGGCCCACTACCAGCAAGGTTTACTTGCTTATTCACACTCCCTACCTCTGTCCTACAACAGGAGCCCACCACTGGTAAAAGCTTTGGTGTCTGAGCTTGCCTAGGTGGATGACATCACCCCTTGGAGCTTTTTTTTTTGGGCTTGGGGATTGAAGGAGGTCCAGCAGAGTGGAGGTAAACTAGAGGGCATTAAGGAGTATAACTTGGGAGGGCTAAATGGGCAAAGCGACAATGTCAGCTAATGGCACACCCCCCACAGCAAGGTATCCTTGCCTGTTTACACTCCCCCACCTCCTTACTGCAACAGGAGCCCACCCTGGGTAAATTCTGCTATCTGATATTACCTGTGTGGATGACATCACCCCCATCCCCCATGTGGCCCTTTTGGGTTTGGAGATTGGCCACCCAGGCCTGAGCACTGCCACATGGAGGAGGCACATGCTATACCCCCCCCCCCCCCCCCCCAAGAACGGAGGAGGTGAAGAAGAGGGCATTAAGGAGTATAACTAGCTTGGGGGGGGGGGGGGTACTAAATGGGCAAAGTGACAATGTCTGCCAATAGCTCCCCCATGAAGGTGCACTTGCCTATCCACGCTCCCTCGCCTTCTTCCTTGCAGCAGGAGCCTACCCTGGTTAAAGTTTTGGGTGTCTGAGTTCCTCTGGATGAATGATAGTACTGCCCCCCATGTGACAGTTTAAAGCCTGGTGATTGGCTGCTCAGACCTGAGCATTTGTTACAGGGAGG